GATGCATTATTTTTTTAAACTTCAAATGACACAGTCAGGATATTTATACAGTGAGACCCCCAGATGCGGACATAATTGGTGCATCAAGAGTGTCCCTATGTCAGATTGTCCCCAAGTCAAATCTTGTTTTTCCATAGACTTACATTGTATAATTTTTAATTGGTGTTTTATGGAAGAAATATTCTTCAGAATTTCATGAAAAAAAATGTTTGCCACTTGAATTTCATTCAATGAATATCTTTTCAAACCAATAAGAACATTTGGAACATTGAATAGTGTACATCTGCACAGTAAATTGAAAAGTTTGCATCTGGAAAAATAACATCCATGTCACAAAGAGAGCTAGGAGGAAGTCCCTCTGTGCTATAGGGCATTTTTTAAATTAGCTGAATGGATGGGAAAATGATGGGAAAAGTACCAGAGAATTTTTCTTGCATAGATCTTAGGTTGGAAACATCTGTTTCTTGCAATTCAGCCTTATAAAAATCAATTTTCCTAAAATGTATTTTGGAATTTTTTCCTGCAATGTCCCCAGGTTGAGTCAGTGTCCTCATGTTGGGTCTTTTTTATGATTTTCTTGTTAAAAAAATAAATGTCCCCATGTCAAATTGTCCCCATGTTGAGGCGTCCGCATGTGGGGGTCTCACTATACCACCCTAGTAACATGCAAAATGCAGGGCTCAAAAGTGTATCCAAACTGTAAAACAAATTCATGTTGCACAGACAATTTTTGCCAAACAGTAGTTATTTGATAGAGGAAAAAATGCTCTCATGGATGAGTTTTCTAAGAATCTCCTGATGGATTAACTGATCAATATAACATAACAGTAAGTATAACTTAATTTTCTTCACTCTGTCTGTTTGTATTCAGATTCAGACTAAACTCCAGAACTTTTTCTAGGACTGGAATATGCCAATTAACAAGAAAAATAGGGAATTTTTCTAATGGAAAATACTTGAATCAGCTTTTCTCGGATCAGGTAACACATGCTTTACATGACAAAAACAAATTCAGATTATCCAAGAGTAAAGGAATGAAATATTTATAGACATCACCTTCTGCTGAGATTTTGGGACCATTTGGCATTTTCTCATAATCAGCCAATTCCTGCAAATTATATTCAAAAATGTTGCAGGTTTCATTTGTCCAAGATTCCCCTTTTAAACACAGT